CAGGACGAGGTGCGGGAGAAAGTCGGGTTCATCCGAACCCACCATGCACATTGGCTGTTAGTTTTGCGAGTTCTGACCTAGGGTGCCTGGGTGTAGAGGGAAGGGCCAGTGGCCTGAGGGGCTCCCCAGATCTTCAGAGCCCCCCAGACTCTCACTAGGCCCAGCTCTGGACAGCTGGGATGGGCCGGTGACTGCCCTGCCCCGGGCGTCCCCACAGCACCCACCATGGAGACCAGGAGGACAGTCGCCTGCCTCAGCATCACGCGCTGTGAGAGGCAGATTGCACTGACCACAGCGCAGCAAGTGTGTGGATGCCTTCCCACCAGGCCTGGCCCCCAGTCCTCCAAGGAGCAACAGAGACACACCAAGATGGCGCTGCACCTGGAATTATGTGACAAGGGCCAGCCCTGAGCGGGAAGTCCAAGCTGTGGCCCCGCCACCATCCTTGAGGGGAACCCAGGAGAAAGCTGGAGGGTGCCAGACACTGACCATGGGGCCCTCTCTCTCCCACCCCAGCCTCTGCCCAGGGCCCCTCCCGGTGTAGGGCAATGAGAAGGCAGGAACTGACATTTCCACCCCCAGGGTGACGATCCCCGACTGGCAGGTGATGTTGGCAAACCCACAAGGCCCGGCTGTCCCCAGGACAGTTCTGAGCTGCTGCAGACACCCGCTGCTGCACAGGCCCTCACGGGCCTCCCCCGGCCGCCTCCCTCCTGCTGCCGAGATCACTTTCTCCTTCAGCAACAGGCCTTGAAATCCTCTCACTCTGCTCGTGGGGTCACCCATGGGTCCTGGAAGCAGCCTGAAGAGCAGACTCGGGATGGTTGTGGGTCTCCCTGGTAGAGTGAGTGCAGGATGCCGCTGCCAGGACCCGGGTGGTGACAACTAGGCTGCAGGGCTCTCACAGAGGCTGAATCTGAAGCCAACCACGCGGGGTCGAGTGAGCATCAGAGTCCTCGAGGGCGGCATGTAGAGAAGCCTGTCTTCGGCCGCAGGAGCAGGCAGTGCGGAAAGTCAGGCCCAGGAGAGGACTTGCTGGCCTGAAGGACAGGTCCCTGAAGCTGGGGTCACAGGAGAACTAACTCCCCGGGGCGTGGCTGCTGCCACAGATGACCAGGATGGACTCGTCATGCAGTCCTGGAGATCAGAAGTCTGTGGCCAAGGTGCAGACGCGGCTCCTGTCGTTTTGCTGTGTGACTTCTCCACCCGGCCCCTGGTGCCTGTTTCCTCATAGACACTGGGGCCATTCTAATCCAGGGTGGCTTCACCTTAACTTTGATCTACAAAGTCCCTATTTCCAAGTAAAGTTCCCTTCACAGGTACCAAGGGCAGGGCTTGGGATCTTTTCGGGGACCCCATTTAGGGGCCACGTGTGCTCTTCAAAACCTGCCCTGGCTTCTCTCCAGGACCAACAGGTGAGGCCAGTCCCAGCCTGCTGGCTCAGGGTGCACAGGACCTGCTCCCCAAGGTGCAGTCCCGGTGGGAACCTGGGGCCCAGCGGGGTGGTCTGGAGGTGCTGGGTGGGGAGAGGGTTTACTGAGCACAGCTATCACTGGTGACTAATTTAACGCGGCAGGGCCCAGAAGACAGGAAAGGCAGCAGCAGGAAGGCGTTGGCATCACTGAGAAGTGTGTTGCCTGCCGGCAGGCTTCAAACCAAGCTGGGTGGACAGGAGCAAGGGTGAGGGAGAGAGGGCACTGGGATCAGGGAGCGTGACTCATGGGACACTGTAGGCCCCAAACCGGAGACGGCTGAACCTGGGAGAAGGAAGACTGAGGTCACAGCCACAATGGAAAACTGATTCCTCTTCCTTCCCGGATCTGAGCTGCATCTCAAACCCAGCTGTTTGAAGAGGGCTTGATCTTCCAGGAGAAGGGCCCTTTGTCTGCCGCTGTTCGGCAGAGTGTCCATTCCTGGCAGGGACCCACAGTCCGGAGGGCCTCTGGACACAGGCTCCAAGTTGCCAGTGACACCAGGAACCCAACATGACACATAGCCCGTGTGCATATAGTGGCTTCTGGAGACCAAGTGACAAATGGACCGCTGGCCCGTGTCCATCCAACAGGGTTGTGACCCACACTGGGCTCACACCCTGACCCCCAGGACCCCCGTGCCAGCTCCCTCGCTGTCCCGGACCTGTGGTGTAGGAGGCCCATGGGAGAAAGGGACCAAGCCAACCTCTCCTGGTCTGTGGACCCAGAAAGTTGCAGCTCATTCCAGAGCCCCCAGCAGGTGCACAGCATGAGGGAACATGAGGCACTTGTGGGCCAGGGCAGCTGCCAGAGGGCACAGGGAGGGTCCCCAACATGCCGGGCACTGCAGCAGAGGTGCCCAAGCCCACAGGAATGCTCACCAGGGATGGGGGTGAAGAATATAAGTGTCCTCATGCTGCAGGTCACCTGCAGCTGCAGAGACAGCCTGGCTTGTCCCCAACACCCCGCCACTGTGGCTGTTTTTGGGTGGCTGTTGTTGCTATGACAGCCACCACCTTGAAGAGCCAGCTGTGGGCAGACTAAATGTGGCCCCTGAGCAGATGTAAGCAGTGCAGGGGACAGAAGGGAGCCCCGTCCCCAGCAGGCCACATCTGGAAGGGACAGCAGCCCAGGGGGACTGAAGCTGCTGCTGGCGGTGCCACCTCTAGCTCCAGGGGCACCTGCTCACTCCAGGGCAGTCCTCGGCCAAGCGGGGTGGTGGAGCCATGTGAGATGCGGACGTGGGGCCTGGTCATGCAGACATCCCCAGTTGTCCCTCTCTCGTCTCTCCATGCTCCATGGCTTCTGCCTCTCGGGTGACCCCGTCTGTCAAATAGTGCCCCCACCTCGAACCTCAGGACATGACTTTATTTGGAAATAATGTGCTCGGTTAGGACCGGCCAGACGGGGGCCGGGGATTTAGCTCAGTGGTTCCGCTGCCTGCCTCAAAAGCATAAGGTCCTGAGTTCGATCCCCGGTACCAAAAAAAAAGACAGGCCAGACTGAGGCAGGTGGCTCCTAAACCCAGGGCCAGCGCCTGTGTATGAACGGAAGGAACAGAGACAGGCGCCATGTGTGGTGGAAGCCAGAGAGGAGCCTGGGAAGAAGCAGCCCTGCCCACACCTGGACCGCACCCCTCGGCCTCCAGAATGAGGACAGTGGACTTCTGCTGGCCTAAAGCCTCCTTTCTGCTGCTTTGTTACTGACCCCACACCCACAAAGAGCCTCCCTACACCCAGTCCTCGGGGCTCTGGGTCAGGGGTCCCAGTGAGGCTGCCCCTGTGTGGCCCCATACGGCCTGTGGCCACCTGCCTCATGGAGAGGAAGGGCAAGGTCAGCTTGTCCTGCCCTGGCCGAGGAGAGGCTGGGGCGCCACCCCCTTGCTCCCTGGGCCCTGCTCCCAGCACACATTCCATCAAAGCAGAGAGGAAGCCACGGACCCCCAAGCCCCTCCCCACTGGGACGCAGCGCCTCTGCCCGGACCTCTACCCAGGACCTGCCAGCTCCTCTCCCGTGCAGACTTCGGTCCACCCCAGCCTCGGGTTGGCACCTGCCATCACTGCCAGAAGAGAAGTCATGTTTGAGCAGCCTCCGACCGGCGCTGCTCCCCTCCTGGCCTGTGAACACGTGGGCGGAAATAGCAGCCTGCAGGCTGTGGGGAGGATTGCTGGTTGCCGCATCAAGCAAAGGCTGCTGCCTGGGTGGGCCCGGCCGCGTGGGAGCCCAAGGCTGTCACAAAGGCCGGCTTTAAATAGCTCCCTGTGGGTACATGTCAGAAAGAGCCGCCACGGGTGGTGGAGGCGGGCGGGGGCCGCACTGGGCCGGGCCGGGCCCGGTGGGGGAGGCACAACCTTCCAGGGCCTCTGGGTCAGGTGGGCTCATGGCTCCGTGGACTTTACCTCACCCTCCCCTCCCAAAGGCCCAGTGCCGCTCTGACCCTGCCGGCCTTCCTTAGGGCAGGACCTGGTGGCCCTGGGGTGGAGGTGGCCGTGGGCGTCCTTGGGGCCCAGCTGAGTGGCTACCATGTGTGCTTCTGGGGCACGCCCCTCCCCACAACTCTTGGGGTCCGTGGAGGCAGGCAACAGCCACCCTGCAGGGCAGCCTACTGAGCAGAGGTGCCACTGCCCTGTGCTCGAAGCTGGTGGGGGCCTGCCCACCCTGCTGTCAGGAGGTGGCCTGGGCCCAGCTGACCCAGATTTGCTCCACGGCTGCCCAGCCACCTGCTCTCTGCTGGCTCTAGACTGGCTCTGTGCGGCCCAGGCCACCCTACACCTCACAGCCTGTCCTGCACCAGGGTCTTCAGGCAGCCTGGTGCCAGGAGGGTCTTAGAGCTGCAGTGGTGAGCGCTGGGCTGTGGTGTGGGCAGCAGTGCTGATGCCCCCTGCTGTCCTTTGGGAAGCCATCCCTGCAGAAACGCCCACCCCCAGCAGGGACCCAGAGTGGCACCACAGGCCAGCGCCACCCTGCGGAGCCAGGGCGCTCGGCCTGGGCCACCATCCCCTCTTGCAAGCTGGCCTCAGCTGGTTCTGGCCAGCTGGGCCCTGCAGCAGACCCAGGTGAGCAGCTGTCCTGCTAATTGTACCCTTCGTTTCTCCTGTGTGGCAGGACCCAGTGTCCTGGAAAAGCTGGACCCTTTATTAAGAGCTGCTGTCCCTGCTCTAACAGCTGCAGGGTCCTCGGGCTGCAATGCTATCACCCTGGGGCTTGGCAGTGGTGGCAGCCAGGGGGAAGGAACTGGGGGTGATGATGGGGCCTTTGGTGGTCCCTGCATTCCAAGAAGGCACATGAGGCCCCAGGCCTGGGGACCGAGGGGCTGGTGACTCCTTGCACCTCTGCCCTCACCTGTGCCCTAGACATGGCCGTACAGCTCATCTCCAGGCCACACCCCCTGGGCTTCCCTGACCTGGAGTCTGTCCCAGCCCCAGGGTTTCAGGAGGGGTCCCGGGTCAGGAGTGCATCCATCCCAGACTCCCCCACATTCCACCCTCAAGCCCGCAGAGGGGCAGGGATGCCATGGCCAGACACAGCTGCAGCGGCAGAGACTGAAGCAGGCTTTATTTCATGCTGAGACCAAAGAACCTGCGGATGCCTTCTCCTGCAAGGGCCCTGACAGAGGCCACTGCCCTGCCACCGCCTGCTCTCTGATCCCGCAGAGCAAAGACCTGGAAACCAGGATGGTCTGAGTCTAAAAATTCACAGCTCCCCAGGGTGAGCTGCACCTGCCCAGCCCTGGTCAGCGGCTCTGCCCATCGCAGAGGCTGCTGGTCTGCAGGGCTACAGGCTGCTCTTGCAGGCGGGACTGGGGCAAAGCTCAGGGGCCCAAGCTTCCTGGAGCATGCGTGTCATCCACCTCAAAGCAGGACAGGGTGCGTCCTTCCCCTGGCCATTTCCGGGCCACCGCCTGCCCTCACAAGGCGTAGGCCGCCCAATAGATGATGTTGACGGCCGCAAATGCCGCAGGGAACACAGCGCGGGCGTAGATGTCGATGGTGTCTGCGTCGATGGGCTTGAGCCGGCCTCGGAGACCCCCTCGGCCCCCTGGCGCCCCATCCTTCCTCCTTGGCCCTGTCTCCACCTCCACAGACCTGTAGGAGCCCATGAGGTTCCCAGGGGTGCGACACTGGCGGCGGGAGACAGCCAGCTCCTGGGTGACCCCCGCAGCGGAGAGGGAGAACAGGACGATGGCGTTCCTCACGTCCACCTGCATGAGGCGGGCGACAGGGCTGAGCCAGCCGCCCCAGCTGCCAGGTGCCCAGCAGCTCTGCCCACTCTGCCTCAGCATTGTCCCTGTGGCCTGCGCAGGCTGGGTGGGGATCCAGGGCCCGCACCACCTCCCCACACTGCCCGGAGCCCACCCACCTCTCACCTCTGCCCGAGGCTTTGTGACCTTGACCTTGGCCTTGCGCTTCTTCCTGTAGTCAGCATTAAAGTGGGCGAAGGCGTACTCCACCAGTGCCGCAAACACGAAGACGTAGCAGATCCAGAAGTACACGTCCAGCGCCTTGATGGCCGAGGCCCGTGGGAGGGAGGAGCGGGCGCTGACCATGAGCGTGGTCATCGTCAGCACGGTGGTGATGCCTGGGGACAGGGGGTGCCGGTGGGCCCTTGTTGGAGCCCCACTGTCTCCTCTCTGCACCCCGCTCAGCAGGGCCTGGGTCCTGGAACAGCCCCACCCCCTGCCCCATGTCACTGCCGGGGACAGATGGCCCAGGCCCAGGCCCAGAACTGGCTGGAGGGTCCTGCTGTGTGGCCTCCCAGCAGCCCCTGGGGGAGAAGTGACCCCAGCCATACCTAGAGACACCCTGGCGGGCACTGCTGCCTGACTAATCCAGAAGGAGACCCAGGACATGGCGACCAGGAGGACAGAGGGCATGTAGGACTGGATGATGTAGACGCCCCGGTTCCTCCGCAGGTGGAAGTGGAGGCTGAGCCTGGGGAACTGGCCCGCTGCAGGGACAGCCACCATCAGCCCACAGGGAGAGGGGCTGTGGCCAGCACTGGGCCCATGGTGAGGCGCAGAAGGGAGGCCGTTGAACCCGGCCTTCCCTTGGTGCTGGCCCCAGAGACCCTCGTGCACAGCCGCGTCCTGGGGGAACACGGGGGCTAAGGAAGCCTGGCCCAGAGCCTTGCAGTCCCTGGGTGGGAGGACCCCAAGCCCACCTTCAGGTTCCCCCCAAGCCCAGACTACTGGGAAGAGAAAGGGCTGAGGAATAAGAGGGTGAAACTGGCCACAGCACGGCACAGGCGTCCCTAGGCCTGGTCCGCGCCACCTGTGCAGCCAGCAGTGTCGGCCTCAGGTTGCCATCTGCATCCTTGGCCCTCAAGCCAGGCCGCAGTGCAGTTAGAAAGTAGGAGGAGGCCGCGTGCCTCAGGGAGAGGCCCTTGTTACCTGACTTGAAGTTCATCAGCTCCGTGGTGAAGCGGTAGCTGGTGATGGTGAACTGTGCCAGCTGCAGCCTGTCCAGCCCGTGGATCTGCTCCTGGTTCTCGGACCAGTAGTAGACGATGTCCTCGGAGGAGTAGCCATCTGCAGGGAGCCCACAGGAGTGGGGGCTGTGGGGGGCCCGGCCCGGCCCAGCCCTGCAGGCCTAGCAGGAGAGCCCATCCACCCCACACCTTGGGGCAGGTGGATGGGGACAGGGCAGCCAGAGCGGGGTGACCATAGTGGGGACCTTCGTCCCAGCCAGGACCCTGGCTCAGGCCCCGGCCACAGGGAGCCCACTCACAGCTCTCCAGGTCCAGCATGCACTCCTGCTCATCCATGGGGTACTTGGCCAGATCCATGTCACAGGCCACTGTGGAAGTGATTCTGCACAGACGGGGTACGCGTGAGGCCGGCCGCCTTTGCCCAGGAGCTGCAGAAGCACCCCCAGAGGAGCCCCTGCCCTCGAGGCCACCTAGGGTCCGGCCGCCTCGGGCTCGGTTTGCAAGTTGCCCAGCTCTGGGTGCAGACTCAAAGCTGGACTTCAACACCCAGCCGTGAACATAAAACTGGTAACGTTTGCAGTTCTTCCTTTGGGGCCACGAGGATGGATTTGTGTTCTTCATCCCTGACAGTGCTGGGCTATTCGGGGCTCTCAGGGCAGGGACCTGCTCCCCTCACCCGGCCAGAGGCACAGCTGACAGCCACAGGAGGCTCAGGGCTGCCACGTGGTCTGATTTTCCAGGAGAGGCCACGGGTCCCACCCACCTACAGGAGAGCTCAGAACAGGCAAATCCAGGGCAACAGGAAGCAAATCGTGGTCTCGGGGGCTTCCAGGATGGGGAAATAAAAGTAACTGTTGGGTGGGTACAGGGCAGTGAGACGTTCAGGAATAAATACAGGTGACAATCCCAGCGCGAAGCATATGCTAAATGCCCTTGAGCTCTTCACTTTAAAATGGCTAATTCAAGGTGCCTAAATTTAACTCCACTTAAAACCAAAAAGGAAGCTGGGCGTGGTGGTACACACCTATAACCCCAGCACTCTGGGAGGCTGAGGCAGGAGGGTTGAAAGTTTGAGCCCAGCCTGGGCAGCTTAGGGAGATCCGGTCTCAAAATACAATAGAGCTCAGGGCACAGGCCTGGGTGCCACAAAATAAACAAAAGACAAAAACATCAAATAAAACCAAAACTCTCTCTCAAAAAGGCACAAAAAGAAACAAAAAGGTACCATGTTGGCCAAAAAGCCAATCTGTTGGCTTCCTGTCAGCAACCTCTGGAGCAGCGGGGCTGGAGGGCACCAGGCCCACCCTAGCACCCACCCTGCAGCTCACCGGATGCTGTACAGGATGACGCCGTCGGGCTGCAGCCGAATCAGCTTGTTCTCCACCGTCACGTCGTGGAACCAGGCGGACTTGGCATTCACGATGAAAGTGTCCGGGAGCCAGAGCTTGTCCACGAAGCGGCTGTCCAGGCCCAGGGTCTCATTGGTGTGGTTGTAGGAGAGCCTGCTGTCCCTCCAGCTCTGGTGCAGGAACACGGTCATGGTGTACTCCTGTGGAGGGCACCCGTCAGCACGCCTCCTGCCAGGGGGCACAGGCACAGGCGCAGGCACAGAGCTGGCGGCACCCACCATGTTCGCCTCTGAGATGTGGTCGATGCTGGCCACCTCCAGGGCGAGTGCCACGTTCACGGGGGGCCCTGCGAGAAAGGGCGGCTGAGGCTGCTTGGGTCGGTGGGGAGCCTGGTACCTGCCTGCCTCCCAGGCCCAGGACCCGGCAGGCCCACACCCACTGCCAGCCGAGGTGGCCCCCTCCCTGCCTCACCTCCGATGCCGGGCCGGAAGTTGCGGGCGTAGCCCTCCACCAGGCCGTCCAGGTTGGGCAGCCAGGATATCTCCAGGTTGGAGCCCACATAGTCCCCAATATCATTCATTGCTCTGGGAACCAAAGCCGCTGGTCATGGATTGGCTGGCCGCCAAGGTCCTGACCCTGACCGGGGAGGGAGCCCCGAATTCCTCAGTCTCCCGCTCAACTTCCTCCCTGTCCTGCCCAGCCCTGAAGGAGACGCCCCAGGCCCTCGGTGTGGGCTGAGCCCCTTCAGGGCTCCCTTTCCCACCTGGCCAAGCAGGCAACCCTGAGTCTCCAGCTGGGGCTCTCCCTAAAGAGCAGCAGGAGGACTCCGACAAGGGCACAGGCCTCCCAGAGGCCTCGTCAGAGTATGAGGGCGAAGGTACACAGAAAGGGGCCTGAGAGAGGGGCCTGTGCCCAGGGCAGCCTCCTAAGCTGAGTGGGAAATGGTGGTGCCTGCTCAGGAATGACGCTCCCAGTGTCCTTGGCCCCTCGTTCTGAGGGCTGAGGGCCAATTTCAGAAGAGACCTGCAGGTCGCCTTAAGCCCCTAGGAAGAGCAGGGAGTGGGGGAAGCAGCACCCCAGGGACAATGCACACAGGGAGGTGGGTGCCTGCCCCCTGCCCAGCACCCTCGGCCAGCAGCAGCCCTCTCCCACCTCTCCATCAGGGAGCGAACTCCGCCCAGCTCTGCCCCTCCCTGCATCCACCAGGGACCTAGACCCCGGGCCCTGGAACCTCACTCTGGGGCGTCCTAGGGGCCCTGCAGGCTGCAGGATTGGGGAAGCGCCCAGATCCTCCTTCCGCTGATGCACCTTCCTCTGCTTCGTCTAATAGTCCTCTTTTTTTTGGTACCGGGATCAAACTTGGGACCTTGCACTTTCGAGGCAGGTGGCAGCACCACTGAGCTAAGTCCCTGCCCCCGTCTAACAGTCCTTTTGAAGAGGCTGTCTTTGAACCAAAAGTTCCTCAGCCAAGGAAATTGTGCAAATCTCTGACCTATCCCAGACACCACTTCGGGTGGGCGGAGCAAGGCGTCAGGTCTGCGGGTCACCCCGACAAGGCACTGCTGCCCCTCTCCCCCAGGACTGCAGGGAAGGGAGCAAGGTGTGAGACGTCTCAAGGCACAGCTAAGAATGCAAACTGCCCCAAAGGCCAGATGTAAAGGGATTTGAGTTTGGATTTATTTTTGGACCAGCCCAGCTGCCATCAGCAGGCCTGGACCAAGCCCTGTAGGAGACACCATGTTCCCTGGCCGGGCCCCCGCCTGTCTCAGGGCTGACACATACGTGTGTCCTTCCTTCCCTGTCCCCAGGCCTAGGCTTGGGGCACAAGGCAAGGCCAGAACCTAGCTGCCCAGGAAGCCCTTAAGAAAATATTCCTGCTTATCTGTCTCAGTCTGTATATTTTTAATTTATTAATTTTATTCAGACATGAGCCCTTGCTGTTTCCTAGGCTGGTCACAAACTCCTGGGCTCATTGGTCCTCCAGCCTCAGCCTCCTGGGAAGGGAGGAGGACAGGTGTGCAACAGCGTGCCCAGTCACCCTCACCCTGAGTGGCAGCAACGGCCTTTGCTATGTCCTGAGAAGAAGGGAGTCCCCACCCATCACCACTCCTGGGATGCTGGGTGAGCAGATGTGCAGGGCCAGGGAGCAGAGGAGGGCACTCCACATGCTGGACTCTGGGTTCAGAGGCCACTGGTCCCTCTTGGGTCAGGACGCACAGGACAGGCAAGGCCCACAGGGGAGGCACAAACGCTGTGCTCTGGGGGTAGCTGAGGCAGGATGGTCTCCCTCTGCCTCCTAAGTCCTGGGAGGCCTGGGCTGAGCATCACACATGCTCAGAGACACACAGGCTCCAGGTCTACACTGGAGTTGAGGAATTCAGACTCGCAGGGCAGAGCCTGAACGGAGAAAACACATCAGCTGCCGCTCTGGGCTGCTCCTGGTGGGTCATGGGGCTCCCACCCCTCCTGCCCCACCAAGAAACAAAGCCTCCCTGTCACCGTCTGTGCCCCGGGAGAGGGAGGCGGGCACAGCTCAGCAAAGCAGCGGGGTGCTGCCCCCCCTCCAGTGTGGTGCACACAAAGCCCACGGATCCAACAGCTCTGCTTTTAGAGCTGCAGGAGCCTCGCTAGCATCCCGGTTACCAAGGCAAGGAACAACACCGCAGCCACCGCACCAGAGCTCCAAGGAGAGCAGGAGCCAGGAGCGACACCCACGCGGCACTGGCCAGCGCATGCCTGGGGACCCGACCCCCAGAGCCAGCACTGCGCACTCTGCACCCTCCAAGACTTCCCCTGAGGAAACTCCAGGATGTGGACTGGGGACTGCTCCAGCCCACAGGGATGAGGACCTAGAGTCAGAGGAGAGAGGGGCAGCCAGGGAGTCAGGAGCCCATGGAAAGGAGGCCTGCTGTGCAGCCACGCCCCATCTGAAGGTTGCCACAAGGGCTGAGCAGACAGCTGCACCCCAGCCTTCTCTGCCTCAGGACGGCCTTCATCCCTATCCTACGCTGCCATGGCCAGGCCAAAGCCCAGTGCAGAAAGTTTGGGCAGAATCGGCTAATGGACAGACTGAAATGTGGAGCACTGGTAACGATTCTCTGTTAGCAAAGGAGATGGGAGCTTCGTGGGGCGGTGGCATCCACCACCTCCCAGGACAGGAGGGAGGACGCGGCCAGGGCCTCCTCAGAGACGGGGACACGGCGCAGCACCCTCACCTTCACCCAGGAGCCACACACCCACCAGGACGAGAGGGTCTCAGACCTCAGAAAAGGATATGTGTACGCTGCATGTAGAGATTTGGGGAGGAGGGGTCCCAGACTTCCCCAGCAGGAAATCTATAAATAAGCCCTGCACATAAGATAAACAAACACAAAATTAGCCTCAGGGCACTGCAGCACAGATTTGCCCCCAAATGAGTTTTGGTGTCAAACTTGGGCTAACACCTTAGGGTTTTGGAGCCATCTGAATCTCAGACTCCTGCCTCAACAGCGGTGGACCAGGGGCAGCAGCCACCCCACCTACAGCACAGCCCGGGCTGCGTCCATGTTCCACCCACAGGAAAAGTGCGGGGAGAGGTCCTGGGGACCACAGGGCTCCCCAGGCTGCGGCTGCTCCTGGTCAGGGCTGATTCTCCAGCCCCCAGGCCATATCCACACCGGACCCAGCCTCTGGGCCTGCTTCCCCCGAGACAGGGAGACCCTGGCCCAACACCCGCTGAGCAGCCACAGCCGAGCGCAGGCTGATGCTCGCCGTTTCTGGCTTCTGATGGTCTCGTGTCCACCAGCTGGGCCCTGGGGTCCAGAGTTCTAGGGACCCGGATCTGCTCCTCTGCAGCCTCTGCTCCAAGACGATTTCCAGAAAGTCCCTCCAGGGCCCCTATGGCTCCCGGACAGATCGCTGGGCTCAGGCTGGCCCAGAACGGCCTGGTGACCACACTTCGGAGGGTGGAAGCCAGGAAGGAGCTGGGGACCCGGCGGCCCACGGAGAAGGGGCTTTCTCTCAGCTGCTCCCCTGCACCAGAGGGCAGAACCGGCTCCTGCGCCGCGGGGGCACCTGGCTGCCATCCACCTGCGCCCGGAGTCGTCCCCAGGGTGGGAAAGGCTCGGGGGACGCGGTCCGGGCCTCAGCCGGGGTCCCCACCCCGACCCCCGCGCACCCAGCCCTGTCCTGCCCGGAGGTCGCCAGCCGGCGCGGGGACTGGCTCCGGAGCGCGGACAGTGCCGGGCAGCGCTTAGAGAGCTGCGCGGGGCCTGGGCGGGCGAGGCCAGGGTCGGGTCCGCTCCGCTTCCCGCCCGGCCCCTCCCGCGCTCACCTGGCGCCGCGGGGCAGCCGCGCGCACAGCAGCAGCAGCGGGGCCAGCAGCCCGGCCAGCGCGCCCATGGCCTCGTGGCTCCGTGCTGGATCGGACCGGCCGGGACCAGGTTGCCGCCGCCTCGCGCAGCAAAGTTGCTTCGCCCGCGGCCAAGCGGCTCCCGGACGAACTCGAGGGAGCGAAGCGGCAGAAAGGGGGCGCACGGGGCGGTCCTGCCGCGGCCCCGCCCATGTCGAAGCCACTCCCTCGAGCCCGCCCAGGCCCGGCCCTGCCCGCAAGCCCCGCCCCAGCCCTCCGTGCCCTGCCCAGAGCACGCGGGCGACCCCAACCCTCTGACCTCTCATGGGGTCAGGTGCCTCCTCGGGCACAAGACTCGTGGACAGCGAGACCGGTTGCAGGGAGGTGGGGTCCCAGCTCCAGCTTGCTGGTCCAGCAGCTAGGCCAGGAGAGTCCAGGCGGCCCGGAGGACACGCGCGCGCGCGCACACTCACACTCACAATCTCACACACGCGCGCGCGCACTCACACTCACCCGCTCACACACAGCCGATTTGCAGGGCAGCCCTGTTCACCGGAGTCCTGGGCCAGGCGGACAGCGGGAAAGGAGGCTCCCAGGGCCACCGCCTCTGCTGAGAGCCCCGCGGCGCCAGGGCCAGGCCCATCGCACCGCCCCACCCCGGCCGGATGATCCCCTCCGCGCCCCGGGGGGCCAAGAAAGGGCCATGTTCATTCTTTTGAACATGAAGTTTTGCAGTTTCCCTTAAAAATCCATTGTTCAGTCTCCTGTCTCTCCCACAGCAAACTTCCTGTGAAAACATTTGTATGGGAACAAGCCTTCCTCAGGGGCCAGCACAGGGGACGGAGGGGACTGGCCTGGGTCCCGGCAGGGGGAGTGCAGGAATGGAGCGCCCAGCCAGGCCCTGAGGAGGCTGGCTAGGTGGCACCCCGTGCCTCTCCGCCTCCTCGGGGTCCCCTCAGACCTGGTGGGTGCTTTGGGTACACAGCAGTGGCGTCCCTGTGTCCCCGGGGGCTCCAGTGTCTGCTCAACAAAATTCACTGTCCCTGGCATGGTAGGCTCGTTCCCACTTGTCCCTTCCTCTTAGGGGGCAGCAGGCGATGGTATGGCTGTGTCTACAAGCCCCCCAAAGCCTCTTGCAGTCATAGGTGGGCTTTTCAGAGGTGGCTGCTGCGTCTAGAGCGTGTGACGCTGGAATTGATTCATGGTGCAGTGCTAGGCCCGGGGCGCTAGGATCAAGAGAGTGAGTGGTGCCCACACTAAGGAGCCCGGATAAGATAGAAGGGGCAGAAAGACGCTGCTACGGTCCCTTGTTGCTTTGCTGCCTTCTGCCCACCATGAGCTGTTGCCCCTCTGCGATGCCACTCTGCCTTGGAGCCAGCAGATTATGGACTGAAACCTCTACAAACTGGGCTAAAGAAACCTTTCCTCCTTTAACTTGTGGGTGTCAGGTATTTTGGCTCAGCAATGAGGAAAGTAACTGAGAGACAGTTTAGGAGCTAATCCATGGTGAGGTCCAGAGCCTGGAGAATATTATTCAACAGACAACCTGTCTGCCTGGCCCTCCATGGTGTCTCTCTGGCACGTAGTAGGTGCTTAATGTAGGGAGCCCACAGCCTCAGGGTCTCCCAGCATCTCCTTCATCCTTCAGGATGGGGCTGGGACTTGGGTCTTTGGTCCCGAGCTTGGACCAGTGCGGCTCTGCTGCTCCCATCAGACCCAGGGTCTGACGTCTCAGAAATGCTGTCGGCCTTGGCCCACCTGACACAGGTCCTTCAAGGTGGACCAAACCCTCCATTATCTGGGCACAGCATTCACAGGGACTGCACTGTGGAGCTGGACATCTCCTGGGCATGGCTCAGCCGGCACTGAGCAAACCCTGAGCCTCTGAGCTGGCTTTCCAGAGCATCACTGAGTCCTGGAGGCAAATGGGCTTCAAAGCCACACGTGAGGAGTGGGTAAAGAAATCACCAGCAGACCCACCTGCCTCACTGTCCCATGTCCACAGAGCCCTCTCCAGACCCTGTGGTGTTTACACCCCTCAGGTAGTGTTTGCTTCTTCCCAAAGTCTGCACGTCTCTTTTTCAGTTCTGGATTGTCTTTCACTGGTGTTCAAGTTTGGAGGTCAAGAGAGGGAATTTTAGGGCCGGGATTTAGCTCAGTGGTGCTGCAGCCTGCCTCGAAAGCGCAAGGTCCTGAGTTTGATCCTGGGTATCCAAAAACAAAAGTGGGAACTATCATGACTCCTTCCTTAAGGGCTTTTTGTTTGTTTTGAGACAGGGTCTCATGATGTCGTTCAAGCTGGCCTTGAACTCACTATGTACCCCACGCTGACCCTGAACTTGTGGTGATCCTCCTGTCTCAGCCTCCTGAGTGCTGGGATTACAGGCATGTGTCACCACACCCAGCTGTTTTAATTTTTATTTTTATTTTGGTACCAGGAATCGAACACAAGGCCTTGTGCTTGCCAGGCAGGCACTGCACCACTGAGCTACATCCCCGGCCCCTTTCTTTAAGGTTTTTGGGAATAGTGGCCAGGCTGTCTCCCCATCCTCACCTCCAGCTCCATCCAGGGAAGCTCAGGCCACCTTGGAACCAGGAAGGCAAGCAGGGAACAGTCCCTGCCAGGGCCGGGACCACAGCTCTGGGCCTGCTTGGCCACCACAGGGCTGCACCAGGTCCTTGAGGTGGAGGCGCCCACTGCTCCCCTCCTGGTGAGACTTGGGCAATGTCCTCACAGTCAGAAGCGTGGCTGCTGTTCCCGCTCTGCTCCACCTGGCTGTTCAACCTTGGGAGTCACTTTTCCTGCCTTCATTTCCTTTAGGTTCACAATGAAGGGCTGAGAGTAGGGAGCTGCTTGCTTGAGATCAGAAGCAATGGGAAACTGTTTAACGGAGCCGGGAGCTTGGCGTGGCGGTGCACACCTGTAATCCTAGGCCCCTGGGGGGCTGGGGCTGGATGGCAGCTTTGAGCCCAGCCTGGGGAACGTAGCAACTTAGGGAGACTCAGGACTGGGGATGTAGGTCCGTGTGGAAGCTCTGAGTTCAGTCTTAAGTTCAGAGGGGTCTTATGTTGTGCAATGACATGGGCCTTGAGAGGGTGAGACAGAAGGATGCAAAGTTCAAAGGCAGGCTGGACAACTTAGCAAGACCTTGGCTCAAAATGAAAAATAAAAGGGGCTGGGAGACAGTAGAGCCCCGGGCCCAATCTCCAGTACCATGTACATGCACACAGGCACGCGCACACACACACACACACACACACACACACACACACTTTCACTCAGATGTTGTCATTAAGCTTGGCCGCCAAACTTGCAGTGCTGGCTGCCTCCTGCTCTGGAAAATGTTTTTCTTAGTGTTTTTCCTGTGTTCACGCCATCACCCTGGGTGGGAGAACCCCACCCCCAGCCTCCACGTGTGGCTCTGGAGAAACTGAGGCCCACCCAGGGCTGTGTCAAAGGCAGCTGTCCTGTGCACCTCACCCGGCACCTAAGCGACCCCCTCCCTGCCCGGGCCGCAGTAGGGGTGCAGGGCGGGCTCTGCTACCAGGCCACACCCAGGGCAGAGGGAGGGGAGTCGGGACCTCCAGCCTGCATTTGATCCCCACCCTCCATCCTGCCGAGGTCCCCCGTCACACGTGTGACCTGCAGGACCACAGCCTCTCCCTCAGAGCTTGTGGCTGCGTGGAGCGGCCTCTTCAGCTGTCTGCTCCACTCCGGGGCGGGAGGCCTTATGCTCTGCCCAGATGGTACCAAGCAGGACGCGCTTGCTCTTGGCCCTGGAGGTGTGAAGCCCCGGCTCCGTCCTCAGCCTGGGAGCAAGGCTGGAAGAGGCACCAGGAGAGCTACAGAGGCCCAGGGTGCGTATGGCTGAGTGGCACAGGGGACCGGCCTTGGCCCCACACCATTTTCCTCTCGAAGAGCACTTTGCTGGACGCTCACATGCAGGGGTGGCTGGGGCCAGGGCTGGCCAGCAGCCACGCGATGGCTCCACACAGCAGGCCAGGCTGGGAGCGGGGTGAGTCACGCGGCCCGTGAGGAAACGGCATCAGCTAAATTTAACATCCCTGCCTAAGGCACTTGCGAGGTGGCTTTGTTATTTTCCTGGGAAAATGCATCAAATGGAGAAAATGGCAGCCATACAGAGAGGGTTTTGTGGAGCTCGGGGTGTAATTATTAATCCTGTGATTTTCTGATGGAGCCCATTCATACCATAGCAGAGGCAACTTGGCAGAAAGAATCAAACGCAAAATCCTGGGAGCAACCCAAGCTCAGCCGTTTACTTTTATTTTATTTGTCTTATTCTTTGCAGTGCCAGGGATGCAACCCCGGTCCTGGTGCATGGCAGATGAACGCTATGCCGAGGAGCTGCGCCCGACCCAGCGTCTCCTCAGGCGAGGACACTGGCCACGGTCACCAAGGCCCGAGAGCCAATGAGCAAGCAGACCTGGCCCTCAGAGCGTTTTCTGCCCTGAGTCAGACCTCCAAGCACAATTACCATGTTTAATGTGAAGTCAGAATCCTACTCTCTCATTTTTTGTTTTTAGTGAGGCATTTTGAATTCTTTCACATGATAGGAAACATTAAACACCAAGTAACGTTTCTAACAGAAGGGCTGTCCATCAAGTGAGAAAAACATTCCTCTTTCCATAGGAGTTGCGCTGTGCTGTCCGCCTGCAGGGTCAGACCCGCTGCCTGAGAGACCCCCTCTGATGGCCAGCAGCCCCACTGCCCAGCCACCACTGAGGACAACAGCAGCTTCCTCGGCCACTGCCCTGGGTGTTGGGGAAATGAAGGCAGCGTTTTCCACTCGTGACCCTGGAACACACTTGTCTTCCTGCATTTAGCAGACATGTACAGATTGGTGACCCTGCG